CCTCTGTCCTAGGAAGCAGACAATGGAAAAACATTTCTAAAATATTGCCAAGAAAACATAAGGGACTAACCCAGGCAGTTATCATGAATTAACAATGATTTAAAGACAACAAACAAATAAATGAAAACCCATGAGTTCAACTGTGTCATATCAAGTTTTGCAACAGATGCTTTGAAGGTAATTTTCAGCAAATAATTATATGCTAAAGTTTCTATTTTCAGTTATGTAAATACTATAGATTTACAGATTAAATCAAAGCACTGTATTGTTCTGTATCCTGAGTTTTCAGTGATATGATAAACGCAAGCTTTCACACTAAGAGCACTTTGGGATAATAAACTCACTGTATGTAACTGAATTGGTAGGTGACATTATCAAAAGTGTGAACTGAATCTTTTTTTTTTTTTTTATTAAAAGTTTTATGAATTTTACAAAAAAGAAAAAAGAATACAAAACAAGAGACAACATATACAAAAAAATAAAACTAAACAATACATATATAAGAAACCCCCCCCATCCCCCACCCCTCCCCCCCCCAAAAAAAAACCCTCCCTTCCCCCCCCTGAGCTTCCCAGAGCAGAATATAGGCTTAAGAAATAAAAATAAAAATTAAATTAAGAACTTTATATTAATATATATAAAAAGCTTATCTATAATATATATGAAAATAAAACTTATGAAAAAACTATATAATATTTTTGTATACCCAATCTAAATTGTATAAATTTTATCCATTTATCCCAAACAGCAAAAAACTTCTCTTGCGTTTGTTGCTTTAAGAAAGCCGAAATCTTTGCCATTTCCGCCAAATGAGCTACTTTAAGAAACCATTCCTGCAATGTAGGCAAAGATTCCTTCTTCCAATATTGTCCTACTAACAGCCTGGCGGCTGTAATCAAATTTAACATCAATACAACCTCCTTTGTATCACAATCTATAACAATACCTAACAAAAATAATTGCGGAGTAAATTTTACCCTCCTTCTAAAAATTCTCTGGATATTCCACCATATTTTGATCCAAAATGCTTTTATCTCTCTGCATGACCACCAAATATGATAATAGGAAGCCTCCTTATAACCACATCTCCAACATTTGGGTTGCACGTCAGGGTACATATAAGACATTTTTTGTGGATCAAGGTGCCATCTATAAAACATTTTATAAAAATTCTCCCTTAAGTTCTGTGCTTGTGTAAATTTGACATTTCTCACCCAAATATTTTCCCAGGTGTCGAATGAGACTGGCTCACCAAAATTCTGCGCCCATCTAATCATACAGTCTTTAATTAGTTCCGTTTCTGAATCCAATTCAACTAAAACCGCATAAATTCTCTTAATGTGGGTTTGTCTTGAATCCTTCACTTGCTTAATAAGATTTTCATCTTCTCTAAGAAAACCCACCTTACAATCCATCTTCCATCTGTCTAGTAATTGCCTATATTGGAACCAAGAATAAATAAAGTTTTCTTGTGCTAACTCTTCCCGTGATTTTAATTGCCAGTTTTGTCCATCCCATTTAAGTAACTGTCTGTAAGACACCATATCCATTTTAACCCCTCTTTTTATTGCTTCTATCGCATGCCAAGGTATAGCCCATAATGGTACTTTGAAATCACTTTTATAATATTTTCTCCAAATCCTAAGTAAAGAAATTCTTAAGATATGAGATTTAAAAGCCCAATCCATTTTTTTATTGAATGTTAAATAGGCATGCCACCCATAAAGTAAATCCCATCGTGTGAACTGAATCTTGAGGAGATGGTACACACCTCCATTACACCCACCCTCTCACATTTGATTAGTTATGATCATCCCTCACTGCACAGAAAAAGTTAGATCTATTCATGCATCCCTCCTTAAAAATGAAAGCCTGGGATTTGAGCTATGAAGAAGTTTGCTACCAAACTATTTAATAAAGAAACCAGATTGTTTCTACAGCTTCTAGGAAATCAATTATACTTCACTAATAATATATACATTTGGATTGTTTCATGTTATATCAAGCTTATATATGTATGTACTCACACATATATACATATATGTGAATACATGCTTTGGATCTCACTGAGTACAGCATCTCTCTGCTATTCTTGAAAGCAGTTATTGTCAATGATTGGACTCTTAAAGTTGCCCCTCTTTTTACAGTGTTGTGTAATAATCTAAAAAAGTGGCATTGCTTTCATTAATAGCAAAGGGAGGAAGTGTGTGTTTACATTTGGTCCAAGGATATTCCAAATTATTTTCAAAGGATGCACTGACAAGGGAGAAAGACACAGAAAAAGAGAAAATCTGATGGTATATAATGAATATGACTTAAGGCTTTTTGTCTGTGGCCACACATCAGTGTAACTAAATTAAAAAGGGTTGTTATCCTCAGGAAAATTTTTTAAAACATGATCTCTAAGATACAGTCAATAAAATATTGTGCCATTCTAATGCTACTCTCAATGGGGGACACTCTAAGACAGAGGTCCCCACCCTTTTGGGCACCAGGGACTGGTTATGCGGAGAGAGATTTTTCTGTGGACCGGAGGTGGTTTTGTGTGCTGCCTGAATCCAGCGAATGGGCTTTGCTTGTTTGTGCAGACCGGTTGCTGGCATGCCATGGCCTAGTACCAGTCCACATACTGGGGGTTGGGAATCCCTGCTCTAAGATGATGTAATCGAAATATATCCCTATGAACTGGGTCATTCATCCAAATTGGGGTGGGAGGGAGGAGGTCCAAATTGTACTTGATCATGTTCTTCTCATAAAATAATTATTAATTGCTTTACTAATACATAAAATAAATAGCCTTCTACTCTATAAAATAATAAAATAAGAACACACCTTGAATTATTTATGACACCAGTAGATGGCAACAAAGAGATAATAATAATAATAGTAAAGTTGGAAGGGACCTTGGAGGTCATCTAGTCCAACCCCCTGCTCAGGCAGGAAACCCTATACCATTTCGGACAAATGGCTGTCCAGTCATTCTCTGCCATCCAGGAATTTTGCTGATGTTTGCAGGCCAGATCTGATGGTCCTATTCTGGAGTATGGCTATAAAAGGATTATAATTACCATACTATTTATTACTTAACTCTGGCATGCTTTCACCCCCCTAACTCAAAAACAGAGGCTGTTATCTGAAGGTGGAGTATCAAAGGGAGGCTTTTATTATTTACGTTCCATCTTGATTTCAGTTTGGATTATTTTTCTTATGTCTGCTATTTTCATTAAGAAGAAACCATTATGAATACTAAAATCAGCTTTCCTGAAAATAGTAGCTGTAGGATAGAATGCTATTTATTTGGATTGGAATTGCAAGAAGAAAAATATTAAAGATCCCCTTTTCTCACTCTATCTCCTACCATAGTAGTGAGCCAAATTTTGGTGGCCAAGATATGCTGCCAATATTTAAAATTTTGTAATGAAGTCTGAAGACCATGAAATGATATTGCCCAAATCATACCTATATAGTAGCCAGGTTTGGAGGAATTTGGAAGCCCTCCCCAATTTTTTTTAAAGGGGGAGCCCATTTTAAGGCTTATTGTCAGATTTTAACTTTTTCCACCTCAAAATAAAAGAAAATCTGTGCCACTGATTTTTGTTTTTTAGCAATAATAGTCAGAGAGGGGCTTTGAAGGTTGAATGATCTTGGGCTGGTGACCTTAAGGTTGTTCCCTGCTAAAGAAAAAACATAAAAGAACCAATAATGTGACTAGAGATACATTCACCTTGACATTTAAAATAAGTTTATGCCATAGCCATAGCTTTCCCCGTGGAATGTAAATTTCTATTATCTGGCAAAAATAACCCATACAGAATTCTTAATGTCTTTCCCTCTTCTCCCAACAATAATTCCCAGGATTCCTGGGATAGAGGGATGATAGTTAACGTTTAAACCTGATACAGGTTTAAAGTAGCCTTTAATGGAAGTGAAGGGAGTTATTTCTTATTCCAGCAAAACGTAATGTATTATGTTACATCAATATGCTACAGTAAAGGTTTGCAACTATTGTAGACTTCTACTGGCATATATATTTTCTAGCACTGTCACTTCATAAAGGTATCCTTATTGACTGAATGTATGAATTGTAGTCAAATATTAATGAAAGCTGCATAAATGTATATATGAATAAAGGAATAATTCTGAAGAAAATAATTATTTTTGTTTAAAGAAATTCCATTAATTCATCACAGCAGTACTACTTTTCAAGAGATGAACTTTTATTGTGTGAGAGAAAAACCATGTTCTTTCTAAGCTATTTCTTACTATCTCCAATATTAAAAGATCTGTATTAAAAGCATTAATCGTTTGAAAAATATATGTGCCTGTTTCAGCAGGAGCATATTTTAATTTACAAAAATGTTTGAAAATTACAAATTAATAAATTATTTAACAATGCAGCTCTATCTCCCATCAATATTTGTAGACCTCTGTCTATCTGTATACTTTTTCACACTGTAAAATTATATATTGTTCTGGTAGCTTATTCATAATAAAAGACATGCACAGAAAACCAATGTGTAATTTGTCAGGAGTTGTGCAGCTGGGTCTCCTTCTCAGTAAATGTACATATGACTGAAGCTATCATCGGTCTTGTTTTGCAAACAGATGTTTTAACTTTGTTTGGCAAACACTGTTGTGATGCCATTAGACACTGATTTTTGGAGGGGGTGGGATTAGACATAATTTAATTTCACATTTTAAATGTTAAGAAAAAAAGGAAAGATTACCAGAAATAGTATTAAACAAAACAGGAGAAAAGCATTTGTGTCTTCAACATAACTGCTCTTTGAAAGCAAATCTAAAAAAACGATAAGATATTAAAAGAGATGCTTTTGTTTTTGGGAGTATACAAGGTTTAAACTGGGGGATATGAGTAAAAGGACACTCTAGCCCACCGAATAGCTGGACTCTGTACTGTGAATCTTCATTAAGGTTGACAGAAAGTGAACAAAGGAAGAAATGGTGTCTGGGATGACTTGATGGAGGGATCACAGCATAATTCAGTGCACATAATAAAGCCAATAGACAACATTAAAAAGAATAAAAGTGATAGGAAAGACCATTCTGGACCACTTGTCTATGGAATTAACATCAGTCAAATCTGGAATTTTGACTTTGAGCTGTGATGCTCTTCTCCATAGTCGTCCCTTTTGGTGGGTGGTACGTTTCTCCAAGGTGCTTCTGCTGTTGAGGTCTTTCATAGTAGGTGGTCTCCGGTAATGGATGCTGGCACTGTTATAAGAGTACATTGTGGCTCTTGGATCATTCAAACTCTCAAGCACATCGGAGCTGCTGACTTCATTTCTCATTTCCAAGGTAGTAAGAAGGATATTCCCACAAGTGTCAATCTAAAGGAGGGGTACACTTTAGAGAGAGTCTCTAAATCACTATTGCTCTTTACATTTCTGCAGGTTACCTGAAACAATGGACCACTCGAGATTCAATGACACCCCCTCTAAAAAGAATAGGAAAGTCCATTCTTTTAAAAGACATTTTAAAAACTATGTTATTTATTTGTGAATAGTCTTTTGCTTTCAGTGAAGTTCAGATTAATCAAAACTAGCTTCAGCACAATATATCTGAAGTTCTATACTGTAAGAAGCACCAAGTCTGGATTTTTTCTAGATTGTGTCAGCTTGTTCAGGGAACATTGCGAGAATTTGCCGAAATAGAATCTTGGTCTGTTTTCCTAAACATGTTGTCATTTTATTTCAGTTTATTCTTTCATTTCTGGTATTGGCAACATTCTTTATTGTCTATTTTACACTAATTTTGCAGCATTAAGAGATGTACACCATAAAGTTAAGCTTATTTAATAACCACAGTTGTGACTGGAATCTTAGTAGTTAAGCGAAACAGTCACTAAGAAAAACTGCAGTGCTTACAATTCATTTCAGCCTTCTTTTGCTTTACCAATCTATAAAGGTTGTGAATGTGAGGACTGATGTAAAGTTACTTTTCATCATCATTGTGAATGATTGCTCAATGAGGCAGTCACTAAATGAGTATTCCCTTAAAATCTAAGAAACTAACATAGCACTTTTTACCCTGATAATTTCTAGAATAGAAGCTATTATTTGAGCAAAATCAAGAAGAGAAACAGGGACAGTCTGTGATATGTTTTACTAGGGGTAGTTTCCCGCAAGACATTGTCACTGAGGAATAAGTGCTCTCTGTTGAAATGGGGCAATGATGCCATCCAGTAAGGTTGGGACATACTTAGTGGCATCTACAAGGTGGCTGGGATGGGGACGTGGACTAGCAAATGACAAGAGAGTGCCACCCTGATACCATGTAAGGTTCCCTTCTTTTGTTCATGCTTTATGTCAGACCACTGGGACAAAGCTCGTGTTATGCCGTGCTATGTCAATTTGACAAATGCAATGGTTCCCACACCTGCCTCTGGCAGTGACCCACAAGACCAGACTTTATGTCCTGAAATGTTTCATCAAATGTTTTTCAGTAAACAGATGAAAATCTGATTAAGAAAGTTTATAAATTCCTGCTAAACTGGAAGATGGAAGAAGAAAAAGGGAAAGAAACAATGATAGTGTGGGCAAAGAATTTGGTTATTCTATAGATTTAGAAGATTGGCAAAAACTATGGGACCGAAATATTAAATTTACTAAAGCAGCTGCATATAAGGAAAACTTATATAAAATGTTTGATAGATGGCACATGACACCAGTTAGATTAGAGAAAATGTTTAAAAATGTATCAAATATGTGTTGGAAATGTAAACAACAACCAGGCACTTATTACCATCTCTGGTGGATATGTCCTAATGTTAAAAAAAATTGGTTTAAGATCTATATGTGGCTAGAAGAGATGATTAAAATACAGATAGAATTTAAACCAAAACTCTGTTTGTTAGGAATATTAGGTTTGAATTATGGAAAAGAGAATGAGTATTTAATATTGCATGTGCTGACAACTGCAAGAATAATATTTTGCCCAATTTTGGAAAAATGAAAATTTACCATCTGACCAGGCTATAATAACAAAAATACTCGAATGTGCAGAAATGGATAGACTGACTTTAGAAATGAAAGAGAAAGAAGACACAATTTACTTTAAAACATGGGGAAAATTTTATTATTGGTTAGAAACATGCTAGAGTGAGAAAAGGTTATGAAATTTAAAGAGATAATTGATAATTTGTATTTATATTCCATGATTATTTGTATGAACTTGTTCTTATTTCTTCTTCTTCTTCTTCTTCTTCTTCCTCTTTGTATATTTGTGATCTTAAATAATATGGTAAACTATAATTAATATGTAGTATATTATTATTTTAAAGTGATTATAATTAATTAATATTAAACATTATTAAGTAGTGAAATGAATGAGATTTATTGACTAATTTGTTATTTACGGGATTATATGGAAAGTTGTTTAATAATAGAGTAATTATTAAGATTTAATCTGTAAACCCAGACTGGTAGACTTGCTGAAGCAATGTTATTTTGTGGGATTAATCCCACTTTTGTGTTATCCCTTTTCCCTGGTCTAACCTTTTTGTATGTTTCCCATTGTCTTACCCTTTTTGACCCTATCCCCTTATTATCTTTATAAAACTCAATAAAAATATTTATAAAAAAATGTTTTTCAGTAAACCTATGGCAGAGAAATCAGTTAAGTAGGAATTTCCTGAATGGAGAAATAGACAGAAGTCCACAGTCACAAAACAGAGACAAATAATCTCAAACTTTTAAAAATTGTGAGGTGGGTTAACAAATGTTAGGCTGTTTATGAGAACTAAATGGAATTTCCATATCCAGTGGCAATGAATATTGCAAGGAAGGGATGCTTTTACCTAAAATAAATATCAATGTTTCATGAGGCTAGAATGCATATGCTGTTTTAGATATTTGAGTGATATCTAGAACAGTATCTCTCTTTCTGCCTACCCTATAAGATCTAACAGATCATCTTCCTGAAGATTCAGATCTTGAAAGCCTTTAAACATTTTTTTAAAAAACTTAGCTTTTTCACCAAGCTCTGGGATAGCTTAGCAGTGTGTCTATTTGATTATACTGTTGGTTTTGGTGGTATTATATATTTCTCTCTATTATATGAGGCTCTTTCTGGATTTCTATTGTTTTCTATATATTACATTAATTAAGATCATATATTGTTCAGAACTGGCCTGAAGCAGCCTTAAAATTAGAATTGTAAACAAACAAATCAACAAAGTATTAATTACCAAGCATTCAAAGAAATTAAATACTTCCAAATGTTGTTATACAGTCACTTGCATTGACAACATAAAGATCATTAATATTGTTTCTTTTCTCTGTTGTAAAGGCAAATAACCATGAGCACTAATGGCTTAAATTGGTGATTCATAGGGCCCCTTCACTTAAAGGACTTGTATGCCCCACAGCTTATTACAAGGCAAGAACGGATGAATTACTGCTTTAAATTAAAGCATTACAAACAAGAGTACTCCATTTTCAAATGTGTTTTTAAATCATTTCAAACCACCTGATTGTGTAAATCATTGGGCTATTCAGAGCTTGTAGTGATCACCTACAAATGAACTCATTTCTTCTAACAGAAGGAGAGAGTGATCATTTGTGTCTTGGCTTACTTTAGTCCTTGTCCTAGTCTACACTTCCTCAATTCCATGTCAATAAGAGTTAATTGACAAGGCAATCTGGGCTTCTGCATTACCAATCAACAATGCAAAATGTCCTAAAATGAGGACATATTTGCTAAATAAAAAGCTTAATTACTAAATAATAATTATTCTAGTGACCCGAATGACCCCAAAGGATAGCTTCTGTTCTTTGAAGAGCAATCACCTTCCTATTTAGGCCAATCAGTCAAGACATATCATGTGAAAATAAAATCTAAGAAGTTCTATTCTATGGAAGATTTGGGTCAGTTATTGCTTCTGTCCTTGGAACCCACAGAGCCAACCTCAGAGCTATTTTCCCTACTCAAATAGCAGGTACTTTAAATTAATTAGGAAAGAAAAAAGAAGGATAAAGAGAGACAAAAGCAGGTAAGGATTATTGAAAGGTATCTATGCATAACTGAAAAGTGCTTCCAAGATCACATTCCTATCACCTACACATTTCATTTGTATTAAAATTTATGTGGATGCACATAGAACACAGAACACATAAAACTGGTTTGGAAGGGATCTTGAAGGTCTTCTAGTAGGTCTTCAAAAACAGTAACTGTGAGAGGGACCTTGGAGTCCTAGTGGATGATCGCTTGAATATGAGCCAGCAATGTGCAGCCAAAAAAGCTAATACAGTCCTGGGTTGCATAAACAGAGGCATAGAATCAAGATCATGTGAAGTATTAGTACCACTTTATAAAACCCTAGTGAGACCACACCTGGAATACTGCAACCTATTTTGGTCACCATACTACAAAAAAGATGTTGAGACCTTGGAAAAAATTCAGAGAAAAGCAACTAAACTGACCAAAGACCTGGAAACTAAAACATATGAAGAATAGCTGCAGGACTTGGGTTTGGTTAGTCTAAAGAAAAGAAGAAATAGGGGTGACATGATAGCAGTATTCCAGTATTTGAGAGGCTGCCACAAAGAAGAGAGGGTCAAATTATTCTCCAAAGCACCAGAGGGCAGGACAAGAAACAATAGTTGGAAACTGATCAAAGAGAGAAGCAACTTGGAATTAAGTTCCTATCAGTGAGGACAAGTAACCAGTGGAACAGCTTGCCTCCAGATATCATGGGTGTTGTGTCCTGAGCCTGCAAAAGCAGGCTCGGGACATTGCAATGGTCCCGGGCTGTTGCAAGCTGCCCGGGATCAGACTGAGTGGTGCCAGCCTGCGCGCATGCGCAAGGCGCGGAAGCGTGCCAGTTTGTTACCTTTTTCCCCGGGGGTTCTATTAAAGGAGGCAGAGAGGCCTGCTCTCCTCTCTCGGAGTTCAGCTCCGAGAGAGCTGAAGAGAATAAAAGCTGTTAGAACCATCAGAATGTGTGCTCTTTTTTCGCCGTTGACTCAAGGACTCAACACTGGCGACGAAGGTGGGATAGCTTACAAGATAAAGAAAGAAGACTTGTAAGGCTTACCCAAGAGTCCTGGAGAGAGGAAGACAGCATTAAACTCAGCATCTGGCCTGCCAATACAGCGTCGCTGGAGGTAAGCTGGCTGATAGAAGCAAGGATGGCGAAGATAGGGAGATTGTCTGAATTCGATGTTACTCACCCAGAAAGATGGGAGTCTTATGTCACTAGAGTAGAAAATTACTTTAGAGTGAATCAAGCTTGAAGGCTGCTACTTTGCTGTGTGTCTGTGGTCAAGATGCATTTGAAATTGCAGAAAATTTGGCAGCCCCTGCTCCTCTTGAGTCTGTCACTTATAAA